CATTGGCAGTGAAACGAGCAGAACTCCTGGCTAATCTCTTATTGGTCGAGTCAGCAAGAGGATTAGAGAGTGTGAAAAGCACTGGCGGGGATGAAAGGAGATCTGTCATTTCTTCTTGATATATTCAGAGTATTATAAAGCCAGCGCCTGGTCAGAGCAGCTCAAAGGAATCACAGGTTCTTTTGAAAGAATTCCATCTTGTGCAAAATTCCTATTTGACCAAGTTCTGTCCCCAGCAAGACTGACCAAGGTTGGTGGGGTGCAGGGGGAGGAGGAGGTCTGGCTTTGTTTAGAGAAAGTACTACAAAGCCATTAGTGAATAGATCCGATTAAAATGAGAGCGGGGGAACAGCTGAATAGCATCCTTCACATACACACAGGGCTTACACGCCTAGGGTTGGACAGCATTCCATTAAATAAATTAGGCCATGCCCAGAAGGAGGCAGGCGTTTCTAGCAAACCCATGGATTTTCAAAATATGCCACTTTACTTCTGAATTAGTGTTGTGCTAGACAGCAAGAATCAAAACCTAAGGGGAAAAAATAGTCACAGAATCCTCTCAGATTCCTGCTCATTAAAACAAAGATATAACAAACGAAAATGAACAGGCTTGATTTCAAATAGAAAGAGAAGCAGCTGTTACAGACAATCCAGTTCCCAATGGGGACTGTTAAATATCACCCCAATGATTATACATGAATAAATTAGTGCCCTTGGGTTAAGATATAATGAGGTACTTACTGACACATAAATACCCCCTCTTTGGCTGAGCTTTCATTATCATCAGAATGGACTGCTGAAGATGCAAGGCAGTAATATAACATGGTGCAGCAACCGCAGCATTTAGTCAATTGTTTGTTAGTTCTGTTTATTTATTATGTGTTTTATCCCACCCTTCCTGGGGGTAGCATACACAGTTCCCCCTATTTCATCTCTACAACAATCCTCTGTGATGGATTAGGCAGACAGAGAGTGACTAGTCATGGGTCACCTAGTGAGCTTCAGAGCAACATGGGATCTGAACGCAGCCCCCCTGGCCATGTCCAGCCTTCTAACCAACACATGACGTTGGGTTACTTGTGTTGAAGGCAAGACAAATAAACTCTGTTTGAAAATGGTATGAGGCTGCATTTATGGGAAAGAGAAAACCTTTCAGATTTGCTCCTGTGAAAGCTGTCAATAAGGACTCAGCTGTAGTTGTAGCTGAAGAGTGAGCTGTGAACTCAGCCATATGTTCATGAGTGAATCTGTCTAAAGAGCCCATGATGGTTCTAGACAATTCCTAAGATTTCCAAATATTGCCAGAGATGGGGTTTTTTTAAAAGGAACAATTACGATAACGCTACCGGAAACTACTCCAGATGTACCAATGGGCTGTCATAAAGGACATGGTTAAAACTTCCACTGTCTTGTTAGAAATATGCCCCCACACCCAGCAGGTATTGAAATGAGCACAACAGAGCTTGCCAATGGTATGAGTACATATCACATTTTCATAAAACGCTTCACAACCTAGCAAGTCTTATTTAACCAGTCTTATACCAGCGTTCTCCAGATGGCCACATCCCCTTACCCTGACTCCATCCCTACATCCCAGCCACTGATTTAGGGATCTTCCCAGCTTTTGTGTAGTTTTTCCCCAATTCTGAACAGCTGAAATCTCTCCCTGAAGGCTTATTTATCAACAATGCTGTTATTAATCAATATGCCTTCAAGATTTGTATTTTTGATCTGCCCACTTTGAGAGCTTCTCTGCAATGGAATTCAGCCTCAGGGATGAAAAATATTCAGTGCCACTGATACCATGATGATAGGTCTACCATACTGCCATCAACTCTTGTCATCTTCAGCCAGCCCCAATTTGCACAGACTCTTCCCATCTGGAATACAGAATAATATTCTGTATATAAATGCCTAAATATTCCATAATTTCACTTCAGCTGACGGCACAATGACACCCCATCTAAATAGGGATCTAACCACTAACTTGGCTTCAGCTCTGATAACCTCCAAGTTAAATTATTGCAATGCTCTCTATGTTGGAACGTGCTTGGAAGTTGCAGCATGTGCTAAATACAATTGCCAGATTTACATGGGGGCATAGTAAGTCTGAACATACAACCCCAGTTCTAGCCTACTTGTACTGGCTGCCTATACAAAGCCTAATTTGAGCTGCTGGTCTTGACTTATAAAGCTTTACACAACTTGGGGCTGCAAAAGCTGCAGTTCTCTTGAAGTGCATCCTCTGAGTAAGGTTCCGAGGACGGTAACAAGGGAAAGAGCCTCTTCAGTGTTGGCCCTAACTCTTGAACATTCTCTCCCGTGAGGTGCCAAAATTGTCATCTTTCCAAAACCAGGACCTTTCCCCTACTCCTGGGCATCTTACATGTGATGGGGTGTTATTAAAGTCCCAGCATTATTATCAATTGTTTTTCACTTGTTTATAAGCTGTTTAAAATTTTTGAATGTTAGCAGTCTGACATGCTCTTTTATCATGTTGCGAATCACCTAGAAAGCCACAGAAGTGCAATGAATTCATGAATACAAATGAGCTTGATCTGGGCTTTAACATATTCCTGAAATTAGAGCAGCCAGCAAGTAATACAGTAACCAAACAAAAGAAGCAACAAAAGTGTGTTATGGGAAGCTATAATGACAATGTTCATGGTCTCCTCTGGGTGCTGCAATTCACAACTCCAGAAAGAGCTTGACTCCACTGGAAAGACAGGGCAACTTTCCCTAAGATCTTCCTGTGCTCACCATGGAAGCAGCCTTGCTGGTCCTCTATGGATGCTTGCGTACAAGAGCAGCTCTCTACTAAAGCTGGAAAACAAGGTGTGCACCGGATAACTCTGGGATAATCTGAATCATACAGCCTGTTCCTAACATCAAAACCATGGGGAAGCGGGTCTTAGAAAGCATGGTTGTGTTCTTTCTGCTCCAACCTGGTGTCCTCAGGTATGGTGCGCAGCTCCTAGGATCTTGAAGCCATCTCTAGTGTACAGTGCTTTGAGCATGTTGAATAAGGTGGAAAATGGCACACAATTCCACAGCAAAGGGCCATTTTGGAAATCCCGCTTTCCAGTGAGAGGAGGTGCTGAGGCACCGTCATCCTACACGTTCCTGAGAGTAAACTGAACTTGCAGAAGGTCTTTCTAAACCACCTGATGCAGCACCTGAGCCCGAGATACATACCTACCCTGTTCTACTCCTCACTGTCGGTTCTCTAGCCTCATATTCACCACCAAATGTGAGAACATTCTGACATTACATTGAACTATGGTTGCGCTTTCTGAGCCATCATTTAGCATGACCCTGATTTGGGGGGCCTTGAAGTACCCCTGAAATCAGAGTAATCAGGCAATAAGAAAACAAGAACATAATGCCCAGCCTCAAACTCAACTCTCCAACTTTTTATAGGCTCCTTCTTCCTTCCTAGTACCCAGTCCTTATAAAAGCATGAATTATTCTGCCCCTCTGCGTAATCCATGCTAATCAGCTGAAAATCACCCCTTCTTTTTCTGTGCTGATTAAGATTTAGGTCATTTTATGTCCTAAGAATGGCACATTAATAATACCCTATGCAGATATTTCTACAGTGCACTCAACTGAATACAGTGAAGTTAACTTCTGCATAATGTATGCAAGGCTGCAAGAGCAGAGAAGATTGAAACATTCTTCTTACTTTCCTTTGAACACCTATTCCTTCTTAGCTTCCCTTCCTTTGCAACTGTGGCTATGCTCCAGAAAGCAGCCAACAGAAATAAAAAGACTCCGGATAATGTCCTCTGGAATTCCAGGGATCATTCTGGACCAGCTGATGAGCTCTAAGCTGCCACTCTGCTCCTTCCTGTACATGTGCAAGCAGTGGCACATTCTTTCCCTGATATTCAAGCAGGCAGGTGCTCCTGGAATTTTAGCACCTCCACTTGGTTGTCTGTTTGGGCCAGTACGGCCCAAGCTGCTTTCCATCTTTTATTTGCTCAATCCTCTCCATCACCCTCCCTACTAGACAAGCGTGATGAATCCTAGAAAGGCGGGGGGGGGGGGGGGCAATAGAAACACCGGAAAAGTGTAGAGCAAAAAACTCTAAGCCCCACGCCAAATGGAACTGCTGACTGCCCCATTCAGCTCAATCCTGACTACAGGGCTTCAGAATACAAATAGCACCGTCAATACCGATCCTATATAGGTCTACTCAAAAGTAAGCCCTGCTGAATTCGAGTAGACTTATTTATTTAGAAAATTTCTATGCTGCCCCATTCGCCGAAGCCTCGGGGCGGCTCACAAAACATCAATTAAAATATAATACACTAAAAAAATAAAACGAATTAACAATATAAAATAAGTCACCCTGGCCAAAGAATAAAATAAGCAAATAATATTAGCAATTAAAATGACGTTTGAATAAAAAGGTCTTCGCCTGGCACCGAAAAACAAATAAAATACTTGCAGATAAATGTTATAGGGTTGCAATGTGCTGGTGTTAGAAAAGAAGTAATGATTGTTGCACTCCCAAAACGCATTACTGTATTTTCTACTCCAATTTTTAAACTCAGACATGAATTCAACAGGGACCTTCTCCCATGAATAGCTTAGCTACTACTGGCAGTTTTTAAGCCCTCTTGAAAGACAGTCAGCCTCGGGGAAAGAACTCCGCCAGGGTTGAGGCCAGATGTTCAACTACCTGAAACGTGCTGCTAAATTTCTACGCGTGCCCAGAGACCCCTCCAAGAAAACGTTTCCGAATGGAGGCTGGCCGTTCCGGGGCTTAGAATTAAGAAAAGGCTGTTACCGTGCACGGAATCATACTTCATAGTAGCTGCAACTGTTCAGAACAATATTCAACTAAGCTGGGGGGAAAGCAAAGCTACAGAAATACGACAGACCCCTCTTGGCTAAGTAACGTTTCGGCTGAGAAGGGCAGGGAGAAAGGAAAGGAGCTTGGCCCGCTGGGTGGGCGCAGGTCCCGCCGCCCCGCGACCCCGGCCGCGGCTCACCCAGCTTGCACTCGCCGTCGTGCGCCTTGCGGACGCGCTCCCGGCCGCCGTGGACGGCGCGCCAGCTGTGCAGGTGCAGGGCGCACACGCTGCTGTAGGAGCGCCCGTCGGAGCCGCAGACGGCGCCGTCCTCCTTGCAAACGCAGCGCCCGGTGCCCTCTTCCTCTCCCGCGGCCTCGGGCGACGGCTCGGCCGGGCGCTGGCTGACGCACACCAGCCCGGGGCCGCAGCGGGCGCCGCGCGCCCCGCCGCAGCGCTCGCCCTCGGCGCTCAGGCACCGCTCGCAGCAGCCGCACTCGTCCCGCGCCGTCAGCTCGGGCGCCGCGCAGCGCGCCGGCACGCACCGCTCGGGCTGGCAAGGAGCGCAGGCGGCCCCCGACGCGGCGGCGTCCCGCGGCGCCAGGCACAGCCCGAGCGCCAGGAGCGCCAGCCGCGGCGCCCAACCTCGTGGGCCGGGCATGCTCGAGAAGCGGAGCGGGGCAGCAGCAGCGCGGGAACAGAGCGGCGGGCGCCTGGCGGGACGGCGGCGCAGACTGGCGCGGTAGCGGCGGCGACAGCGACGCCCCCTCGACGGCCACGCCTCCGCGCCAGCGCCGCGCTCAACTTAGGCTCTCGGAAAGCGCCTGCCCGTCCTCGCTTGAGCCCGCTTAGGGCTCGGCCTACTCTCTGCCTCGGCTCTTTCTTCGCAGGACCTAACTTTTGGTCCCCGGCTCATTTTCGTAATCCTTCCCCATACTCTTCCCAATTTATCCGAATCCTTCTTAAATGCGGGGTCGGAACTCGACACAATATTTGAGGTGAGATTTTGGCAGCGCAGAGTGGAATGGCATTGTTGCTTCCCATGGCTTTGAAACGTTATTTCTGCTGTTGTAACCTAAAATTGCATTCGTCTTTTTTGCAGCCTCATCCTGCTGCTGGTTCATATTCAGTCTGCGAACAGCTACAACTTTCTGCAAGTACTGTTGCCAGGCCAGCTATTCCCCACCTTATATCAGTGCATCTTATGTCTTTTCCGTAAATGAAGGACTTTTCCCTCGTCTCTGTTAAATTTATTCCTGTGATTTTTCTGTTCCGTCTTCTATCAAGAACGTTTTGAACTTTGTTTCTGTCTTCCAACCCTAACTGTATCCAACCCATTTTAGTGTCATCTGCAAATTTAACAAACACTTCCCCTACTTCCTGAACTTTTCGTCCTCTCTGATTTGCCTACCATAGTAATAAATTCAGTGCCCCCGAATTTATTAAAATCAGCTTTCTTGAAGTCCAGAGGAATTTATGAAGATCTTTTGATGAAGCTTTATGGCCAGCCATTTCACATGCTTTCTTGGGTGCTTCAAAAGGATTGTTCCTCTTGTAATTTTTGCAGCTGCAAAAATCTGCAAGGACTCCTTTCCTTCCAGCATTTAATCAATACCTTGATATCCTGATCATTCTGCTACTGAGGAGATGGTTACAGGTTTAAAGATATTCCAGTACTTTTAGCATATTTTCAGGAAGAAAGGGAAAAGAAATCTAATCACATAGTTTTTAGATGGGGAACATTTTTACACAAGGAAGATGTCCTGATCAATTTGAATGTTGAAAGAATGCATTCTTCATCTGAATGAATAACTGTAACAGAATCCTTAGATTAAGTGTCCAATGCATTGTTGAATCGAGGTGTTTTAAAGAACTGCCTTTATAAAGCTGAACATCATTCTCTTTCTTACAGAAATATGTAGAACTATTCACATAGGACAAAATATTCCTTAATTTCAGGTATATTTTTATTTCTCTGTCACCCAGTTCTTTCTAAATAAGACTGTGATACAGTTTCAGTCAAACAGGACTGTAAGTTTTTTCCACAATACAGAATTTAAAAGCAGTTTGTTTTAAAACAGTTTAGCAGCTAAAACAGTATGTATGTATGTATGTATTTGATTTCTAATTCACCCCATTAGCCACACAGCTCCCTGTTAAGAATTAATAGACCTGTAAAAACATACCCCTCAAGCCATTAGATAACCTTCAGTGTCTTTCAGTGCCTCAATACAGAGGGCTTTCTTAAGAAAGGATTTCTTAAGAAAGAAAGAAAGAAAGAAAGAAAGAAAGAAAGAGAGAGAAAGGCCAGAAGGATGACAGTGTTGGCACCAGGCAAGTCTTAGAGAGACCATTTCACATTTGTGGGGGCACCTTTTAGAAGGCCCTTCCTCTGTTGCCACTCTCCAGGCATCCCTTGAAAGTGGCACTCAGATGTTGACGATAGAAGTAATCTATAATCTTGTGGTCCCAAGCTGTGTATTACAAGTACAGTTAGGGATTTGGGGGCAGATTCCACTGTCTGTACCTCTGAGAACTAAAATATCAACTTTCCTGTTCATTTTCTAAAAGTTCCATTAAAAAAACACATTTTTGTGATGAAAGTGGATGGAGAACACTTTGGGGGCAGACCTTCCTGCCCCAGCTCTGCCTGGTTACAGGCTCAGGGATCCTTCCCATGAGAGACAGAAATAAACCAATCAAAACAAAGGGGGTTTCTGAAAAAGGGGAAAACTGTTCCTGACACAGGCTTGAGAGATAGGAGAAGTGTGGTGTGCCATGTTCCGTTGTGCATCCCATCCCCCGCCTTTGTAGCAGCTCCAAATCTGTTGTGCACAGTTTTCCAGCTGTACCCAACTTCCCAATTGGCCTAAGGTGGTAGGAGGGTGTGGGGGGAATAGTTCCAGGATGTGGTGTGGGCAGGAGAATTAAACTAAATTAAATTTCTTCTAGTGATGCTGCTCCAGATTTGGAGATGCTGGTGCCATTTTTACAGCTGCTGGTTTTAAAAGTAAGACTAGCCCACATCGCAGCTGCTTTGGTTTTTTCAAAAGCACACAGGCTGTGTTACATGGCTGCCTGCATAGTATCTGGTACACAGATACGTTTGCCTCTGAACCAGGAAAGCCCAGTCAATCTGCAGCTTGCGGTGGTACAGTCCTAATCTAGCTGTACCTTATGATGATTCTGAGTGTATGAGGTTAGCTCTCAAGCCAACCTTTCCCAACCTGGTGCCTTCCAGATGTGTTAGACTATTACTCCCATAATCTCCTGCCAGCATGGCCATGATGAAAGTTGCAGTCAAAAACACCTGGAGGGCATCAGGTTGGAGAAAGTAGATGTAGTTTATCTAGTTCTCCACACAACTGAGTACTATCCAGGGAACTGTTGGAAGGGAAGGCAACTCAGCCCCATTAATCTCCTTTTCCATCTGTCCCAACTGGATGCCCTCCAGCTGTTTGGTACAATAACTTCCCTCGAGTCATGCCGGCACGGACAATTGTTGTAGTCTGTAGCATCTGGAGGGCACCGCGTTGGGGAAGCTTGTCCTGCCACCTCTGGTGTCACTGGCAGCCTACATGAAAAGATGGTGAAATTGGCAAGACTTTCCCCCCATCTGTGCAGTAAGTTTGAAGCAGCCTGTGAAACTGTCAGGCTCCAACTAGCAGCTAACATGGTGGAAAATAAAACATCCTCACTGTTGCTTTCAATAATAACCCAATAGGGATGGGTGCATGCCACTGGCGATGGAGAAAGGCACACAGTGCCCAACATCCGTAACCATTCCTCTGTTTTGGGGGAGGACTGCTTAACTCCTGAGAGGATGCAACTGTAGCTCGGAGGCATTGTCAGTGAAAGGCCCACTAGGGCTTGAGCCGTGGATCTCCAGGAGGCCATCTGCTCCACCACCCCATCCACAGGCAATTGGTGCTGGGGCCCTGATGACCGGTGTTGCATCTGACCCTCTTGGATAAGCTGACTTTTGCCCACACGTTTCACCTTCTGCTGCCCCACCTCCCTTGAATTATTCTGCCAGAGAAGTTTTCCTGAAATCACATGCCTTCCACTCCGCTATCCATACATCCCTCTTTACAAGTAGAGTTTCCCTTGGAAGACACAGATTTTAAATCATATGCAGTTAGCAATGCAAATTTGTTTTTGTTTGTTTTGTGGGCCCTCGATCTTTCTGTATCTAACTCTGCCTCTCCAGTAATTGCAGTAGAAGTTGTAAAAAAAATGATGAGAATTCAACTTTTTCAGGAAAAGTGGGGAATGGAGGATGAAAATGACACAGGACTGCAGAAATTTGCAATGAATGTCATTTGGATTGATAGGAGTAAATGAATGAACAAGTGCTAGAGAAAATTGCAAGCATAAAAGTTAATGCAATTACCCTTTCCGATCAGCTGAACATGTGAGCTAGAGGTGCCCTGAACAACTGGACTAGGCTATCTAGCAGCCCTGCTCTATTTAGGATAACATTTAGGTCTAAATGCTTTGTTGCGCCAAGGTTCCTACTTAGCTGCATGCCAGTTCTTGTCATGCCCTTGCAAGGTGAGACCTTGGCCCATCTGTACAGCTCAGTTCATTCATTTATTAAGTGCCTTTGCTTATCCCTGCACAGCCCATGAGGTTTGTTTATAGAGGCAGCTTCCAGCGCTGCATTGTGCAGAACATAATATATTAGCAGATTCCCTCAGCAGTGATTGCTGGGCAGGGATTAGCATTGGCAGACCAGCGCGTTCAGTGTGATGGGGACATTGTCCTCTGCCGTGGCACTTGGCCAAACAGAATTTTCTCCTGTCTAAGTTGTGCACCATCAAGGGCTTTGATGTTGGGTAAGACTGCAAATGCTAAATCAGTCTAGAAGCCCAGGAAGATGCCGAGTAGCTGTCTTTTGGTTGGAATGGTATTGGCTCTGGAGCTAAGTTCTGAAGGGGGAACCATAGTGGGACTGGATTTTTGGAGGTGGTGAAGACTCAGGCCAGAGAAAGTAGTTTAGTACCAGCAGCAGTGCTTGAATTAGGTGTGGGGCTGTCCTTAAAAGGCCTGATGCTTCCCAGTTTTAATCATGTCCCTTGTGGCTTTCTAAAGATAGTGGCTAAGGGAAGTATCACAAAGATAAAGGGTCCAGGGTTCCTCCCCCTGTAATGCATAAACAAAGTAATATAGAGTTCAGTGCTGATTCCAGGCTTTGGAAAGTGCTTGGAGAAGACACTTTCAGTTGGCCCCCTCCCTCAGTGACTGGGTTCACACAACACAATAACTGGCACTAAAGGATTGAGGAAGGTTGTCAGTGAACTATTTGTTTCTGAAAGATGGGCTGTTGTGTTGTCTGAATTCAGGCGTGATAACAAACTGTGGTTTCTTAACCACAACCCATGAGGAGAATCCATGGCTTGTTTTTGAGTTGTGAACTATGGGTTGTTTGTGATTAAGAAACCATGGCTTGGTACTGCTTCTGGGTGCAGACAATATACAAATCCACATTTCAATGACAGCCCATAGTTCATTGACAACCCACATGCAGTTCATGTTCAGTCCTTGGGTGTGGGTTATGGTCTTGTGTGAATCCAGCCACTCTTTTCACCGCCGTTGCCACCAGCATCTCTTGCTCCTCCTCTGCTTTCTGCTGCTTCCTTTCATGACAGGAGCCGAGCC